ACCGCGGTTCAGTCCTCCAGCACCACATGCCAGCCAGCTCCGCCCCCTGGTGCGCTGAGCTGGCCACACACATACACACACACAAATAAATAAATAAAATTAAATTAAATTAAAAAAACACAAAATAGGGGGCCTGCCCCTTAGCTCAGTTCTTTGGGCTGGGGAGATGGCTCAGTGGAATAAGCGCTTGCCTGGCAAGTGCAAGGACCTGAATTCAATTCCCAGTTCCAAAAAAAGAGAAAGTACTTTATAATTGCATTTTTAATTTTAATTACCACACACACAAAAATCTAGGTTTCTTAAAAAAAAAAAATCTAGGTTTCTTGAACTATTTTCTACTAGTAACAATTCTGTATTCCCAAAAGTGAGACTTTTGTAAAACACCTAAAAACAAAGCTGTGGGAGTGGGGAATAAACATTTTTGAAACTTTAGGATTTTTCATAGTAATTCTAGGAAGTTAAACATCTTATTTATTACTCTTTCAGTTTCACGTTAATGAAGTTTGCATTGCTAGTGTGCTTACTCCCAAACTGCAAGTTGGTTTATGTTCTTTTCCCCATTTCTGTAGGTGATTCGTGAAGCCAAGAGAACAGCCCCAAGTATAGTGTACGTTCCACATCTTCACCTGTGGTGGGAAGTCGTCGGGCCAACGCTCAAAGCCACATTCACCACATTACTGCAGAATATTCCTTCTTTTGCTCCAGTTCTTCTGCTTGCAACTTCGGACAAGCCCCATCCTGCTCTTGCAGAAGAGGTGATGTGTGGTGAAGTCATTCATTAATCTTTTTTTTTTTTTTTAAGAGAAAAAGGAATTTCAGAAAAAGATAATAGAGTAACAATGATTAATAAGTTACGTGTTATCTAAATTAGTTACTCAGAGTATAACATATAGACATTTAATTGTATAAACTATTAGCAGAAATCTTTTAATGAATTAAGAACTTAGTATAACTATCTTAACGTGTGTGTGTGTGTGTGTGTGTGTGTGTGTGTGTGAGTTTTCCTGTATTTCCTTTTCCTTGCCTTTCCCCTATTCCATTTTCTCTTTCCTTTTGAACTATTTGTTTCCATTTCCCAATATCTGTTACACATTTTGGACGTTATTTATTACTCTTTCAGCTTCTTTCACAAGAGAGATAATACGATGTTTACACATGTGAAACTGATTTATTTAGTTTGAATTATGGTCTCATTTCTATAAAAGTCTCTAGTTTGTCCTCCTTTGCAGCTGAATAGTACTTCACTATGTAAAAGTACCACATCTTTTTTATCCATTCTTTGGTTGATGGTTTGGTTTGGTTTGGTTTGGTTTGGTTTGGTTTGGTTTGGTTTGGTTTGGTTTGGTTTGGTTTGGTTTTGTTTTGTTTTGTTTTGTTTTGTTTTTGCCGGAACCGGGGATTGAACTCAGGCCCCTGCACTTGCCAGGGAAGCGCTTATTCCACTGAGCCATCTCCCCGGCCGGTTGATGGGCGTTTGATTTATTTCCAAGATCTAACACAATTTGTATTGCAATAAACATGGGGTGCACATATATCACTATCGCAATGTGATATTAGTTCTTCTGGGAAGATATCCAGAAGGCGAATTGTTGGGTTGAATGTGATCTCTAAGCCTAGTTTTTTGAGCACTCGCCACACTGACTTTTATGGTCATTGCACCAGTCTAAACTCCAACCAACACTGGAGAAGGGTTCATTTTTCTCCACTGCCCTGCCAGCATCTGTTACTGGTTGGTTTCTTGATGGTATCCACTTTTTTACTGGGTGAGATAGAATCTCGGGTGTTTTAATTTGCGTCTCTTGAATGACCAGTGATGTTGAACGTATTTTCACATGTCTTTGCCTACACCGATGTCTTTAAGAGTTCTACCTCATCTGTCTTCCAGTAGATTGAATGTTTCTGTGGGGTTTTTTGGTTTGTTTTAATTTATTTTAGGGAAGGATCTACAGGGTGTTCAGGGTCTCGCTACTAGGTCAGACTTGTAGTGATCCGCCTGTTCACAGCCTCCCAAGAGCTGGGATTATAGGCGCATGCCACCATGCCCAGTCTCAATGGACGTCTCAGCACACCCCAGGGCAGGGCTGGCACAGCAGGCTCAGGGGTCAAACCCCTGGCCCCTGTGCCTGCTTGCAAGCATTTTAATCT